ATATATATATTATATTAAACCAATATCAAGTACTTCCAATCACTCTGCTCAAGGTCAACGCTAAAACTCAATCATCTTCATATTTTGTTCATAAATTTATGCAAAGTTTTTTCTTTTCATTTTTGCTCTAACAAAAATATGACGCATCTAACGTCGATCAGCCACTTGCTGACCAATAGATGCTTTCTACGTATATTTATATCTAAATATCAAGTTAGAACGATTAAACTGGTTGGCCTGCTAGTGCTGCATTACCTGTTCACCTAAAAAAGTATTTAGAGGCAAACTACATTATTCTTTATCAAGTTCTACATAATCTAATATGCAAACGAGGTTGCTCAGTCAGACGCAACAAAAAAGTTAAAAAGAAAAGGAAATTAAACAGAAAAGTATACATGTGTATAATAATATATACAATAAAATCATAAGGGGCATAAGAAATCTCCCAAAGTTTAAAGGAAACCATCTATAAATAAGAAAGATTTCATATATGTTTTATGTTCGATTTGTCGCCTCTTCAGTGTAACGCAACGAGTGAGAGCCCCATGAAGTCGAACACATTCTTAATACAATGATTTTATTCGGAATATATTATTAAGAAACCATGGTAAACGCACAATGCTATGCTCTAAATCCTACACAAGTCGTACACACAGATCTAAACATATCAAGAGCTCTCGAAGAATTCTATAAACATAACAATAGATACTTAAGCCGACCAAAAAAGAGTCTGAAAATTACTTGAATGTCAAATTATCAGAGACCGCATGCGTAGACCCTCTAGATCTTGCCTTCAGGGGACGTGAGTTTCTCACATATTTATTTTATAGTTATGATAATTAATCTAAGTCGAAATATTACCTTCAGCACCTCCGCTTACACTAAAAAACCTTCACCAGATGTTCCTAGCAGTTTCAATTGCATTCAAGTTATATAGATCATATGTTGCTATATTTTAAAACAATTAATTTTTATAAATAAAGACCCTACATATATAATTGCTATGATTGCCCATTTAGTTAATTGGAAAATAAGCTCAAAGTTTAAGTTTGATTAATAAAAACGGCATTTATATCCACACACATGTATATGTAAATTTATATTATATAAGATTAACTGAATGCCTAATCATGGTCAAGTTTATTTGCAATTGTATATTCACTTGTACAACAAGTTGCCACATTCCGTTCGGGTTTTAGCAAAAAATATTAATTAAATACATATAAATAAACTTATTCCTATAATCATACATATACATATGTATATGATTGCTATGCATATCAATGAAGCAATTATGGAGCCATGATGTGGCACAATCTCCGATATTATATATATTTGTATTTGAGTTGAGATTTTTCTATGCAGAAGTAGAAGGGGAATGACAGAAGAAGAAAAAAAAAACAAAGCCAAACGCAAAATTCTCGGACACGTTTCCTCACCGTTTGTTTGAACAAGAAAAAGATCATGAAATTAAATAGCTATCGACCTTGACGAGGGGGGCCACAGACGTACGTTATGTATATACAAACGTCCGCACTTCCGTTTCACACTTTGAGCTTCAAAAAAGCCCATATACTATATATGAACACATAATTTTTTGGTTATTAACATATCCAAAATTTGTCAATACATATGTATATGTATGTATATAGATAACGCATCTAAATGCTAAAGCCATTAGGCGATTCGTATAACAGGCTGTTCTGAGGTTTTGCTTCACTGCATACGAAGTGCTAAAATAAAGCAGCAAAAAAGGCGACAAAGCTGAGAGAGAGAGAGAGTAGATCAAAGATCGTCACCTCCTTAACTTTGCGCAGTAATTTTATGTAAATAAAAGTAAAAGCCCTTATAACATGTACTAAAAATAAGAACATGCCAAAGGTTAGAATGTGGACTATTAGGAGAATGTGTCTGACAATGCGTACTGAAAGTATAATTGTATTGCAAATTTCCTCGCTTCTGTCTCTGTTGATGATGTACACATAAATGTACGAAATATATGTATGCACCTATTCGAATGTATTAACCAAATTTGCGGAACAGGTCACAAAAATAAATATGCAAGTAATGCCTAGAAACAATACCCTGTATTTTTAAAAAAAGGAATCAAATGCAAATGCATACATACATATTCCAACTGTTTTATATCGATAGTGTATGCCACCTGCAGTGCAAAACATCGATAAGCACTCCATTTCAACACCCATATCTTATTAGCACATCTAAATTTTTGGCAAATTGGCAAAATATCGATCATTCACACTTGCCTTGACTTGCTAAATATTAATAAATACTATTACCATGACATGAAAAACCACTAACAATATGCTACAGGGTATTACCAAATCGATCCCTATCTACTTTCTTGCTTCCATATTTACACACAGTGTTCTGGACATTTGAGTTGTTCTATATAAATAGTTATCTGCATTTCTTATCAGAACAAAACGCTTCAGACATCACACAAACACAAAGTTCAAGTGAACGAGTTCAAAAGCTCATTTCGTTGTACTGTGATCCCGCAACGAGCTGAAGATACAGACCATAGCAACTATATGTACATACATATGTACATTGTACATATTCATATGTATGCGTGTGCGTTTTCGCTTGTTAATCTCAACTACACACATACTTATATATATATACAGTATTGTATGTAGTAATCATTATTATTGTTACTTCTTTTTTGTTAAAGACGCCGCCAAAAACAGCTGCAACAGTTGTTGTTTATTTTACATTACATGAGCAGCCATAACACAAAAGCTAATGACCTGTTTAACTACATGTACTAACTAAAAACCGTTGCTTTGGGCTTTGATTACAGTTACTTACCGAAAGCTTACGTTCCTTGTCTTGCCGCTGGCGAATGCGAGGCGAGCGCGCTGCAATATCTGCTCGTTGTCCATCGCAATTGTTTTTGGTAGTGTTGGTGGAGTTGTAGTGGTGGCGGGTTTTCACATTCGCAATGATCAGGTCGTGCAACACCACACATATGCACGCACACAAGCACAAATATGCACGTATATAGGAAGATAACGAAAGACGGAATTGAAAACAAAAAATAAACGAAGAAATCAAATAAAATCAAACGAAAAAAGGCTTAATGTGAGTTACGTGCGCAAATGTACGTTAATAACCGTAGTGGTTGTTATTATTATTGCTCTCCTTGTTGTGATTGGGATTGTTTTTGTTGTTGTTGTTTTATAAGTGCTCGCATTGAATTGCATGCGGCATCTACTACATTAACTGACTTTTGTTTATTTGCAACTCGGCAACACTCACATCATCGAAATTTGCCATTATATCAGCCTGTATTGGAGTGTTAACGGGTAGGGTAGCGGGCGCGGTGTTGTTTTCGCTTTCTGTTGTTTCTGCTTCTGCGGAATAAGAGAATAAGCACACACAATCACACAAGAATTAGACCTTTGTTTACACTTCACTCCGCTGGTGCTAACTTGCACATTCACTTATTCACATTTCTATTAATTTTTACTATACTGCAGTTTTATGGAAGGGACAGAAACGCAGCAGCTGTGGCAATGGGACGTTAAAACAAGCAATTAACTGACAAAAACTCTATACGTACATATGTATGTTCACACACATACACACAGATAACGTACACACCGGAAAAAACACAACCGACAACGTTCGCGACAACGAGAAGATTGAAATTGAAATGGCGAGCAGTTGACTAAACGACAGCCGCAGTGCGAGCTGAGAGCTGTGGGCTGGCTTTAATTGTATTCAGTTCTTAAACCCGTTTCGAAAATTAAACACCGCATGCCAAACTAGCCTAACAAAATGTTAACAAAACACGAATCGGACACTACTGAGTGAACGCAAAACAGCTGTTCGAAATGAACACTCTGGCGATGGTATCGAATACGATTATTGCGTGCCAAAATGCGATAATTGCCTTTGGCCTGTTATCGATAATGCACAAACTTATCAAACTTCAAATTTAGTCTACATATAAAGATACTTTTTTGTATGTAGATAAAAAAAGTGCAACTTAGAACTTGAGACTATTTGTGATGCTAAAACTTAATATTTTTGTACCTCAGCGAGACAAGTGTAGTAGCATGAGTGTCGTGCACTACTGAAGTCAATATACAATCACAAGCGGTTGTATATTAAGCTTATCAGTTTTCCATATACTAGAAAAAAAAACTGCGTCTAATCTGTCTTACAATCAGTTGCAATTCTATATATATATGAACAAATGTTTTAAAGCGATTAACCGAAAGACGTTTGAACACTTGTTATAATAGAACTCAATCCACGCCGTGCAGCTGTACCGGCCAAGAAAGGTAATATGTGCCATCTAATGATGATACGGGATTTGTTAGCAAACCAAACGAATCAGAAAGTCAGCATGATGTGACAAATCCAGCTGGATTTACATTGACCTTAACTTACCAATATTAATGATTGTCGTGCCATCGTCTGCATTTAACATAATAAAAGGAGATTTTTTATTACAAGACAGTATTTGAATTAATTAAATAATTAAGCACTTACCAATTGTTGAGTTAATCGTATACCGTTGTGGACTGGCCTCTATATTTTTATTTTGAATGGTATCCATGTTGTCTTTATATTGTTTTATGTTTAATTATATGTATCTATTTTTTATATCAAAAATTTAAATTTATATATTTTTTATTTCTGCTTTTATTATTATTAATTAATATATATATCTCAGTTTACCTAAAAGAGCAAACGCATTTAACATATTTTCGAAAACAAAACAAAAATTGTTATACCTATTATTATATTAACGTTTTAATTAATTGCAACTTTTCAATCAACTGAGCTAAACTAAACTAAAAGCTGAAGAAAATCGGAAACATAGCAGATGTTTTCGGTTCTCTCTGCATTATTTATGGCATAATTGTCTATTGTGCGTGCCATTTTCTTTTCTCTTTTTTTTGCGCAGAGAACAATTAACACATTTAATTAATTGAATTTATCGCCATTCGATCCATGGGCCAAAAGCTCTACGAAACTTGGACAAATGCACTTGACCTTATATGGGCCAAGTTAACAGCCCATCGTAAATAGTTTCATGGTCACAGCCCATTTTGACGTTTGCCTATTGCATCAGCGACAGGTGTGCATATGCGCGAGAGTGGTTTAATAACTTGCCGTAATATAATATTTAAATTCTCCTATTTACATATATACTCTCAGAGTATCTTCACATATGCATATGAAGTATATAAAGGGTAGTCAGAGCAGTTGATCTAGTGCATCGCCCCCAGGCGCGACTACTTGTCTAGCTACCCTCGCCGCTCTATTACATATGCATATTTATGCATTACACGTCGCTTTTCCACTCATCCCCAGTGAGACATTGTGGGTCGTCGACACTGGATCACGTTTACAGCGATTCAACTAGTCTCGTCTCGTCTCGTCTCGTCTCGATTCGATTCGATCCGATTCGAGTCGATTCAATAATACTTAATTACCAGTTTGCAGCCTTGCAACTCAGTCAAATGTTGTTTTCGCTTTCATCTGAGCTGCTTACAGCACGCAGTGAGTTAGGTCATATATCTTCACACATATGTACATATAATATATAATTATAAGTTTATCCAGTTTGTATTCACTTACAAATGAAATGCATAATTAAAGTAAATTAGCTTCATTTGCAATTCAACTTAAGCTGTTCAACTGCAATCGCACTTAGAACGATTGAGGCTCTGGGACAAGTCGCTCGGCGCGGGCTCAAGGCCAATGGCAAGAGACATTAGAGAGGATATTAACTTTTTTATATACATTTTAAAGTTAATATAAATTTTTAAATATTTCAATTAGGTTATCTTTGAGCTTATAGCAGTTGAATTTTGAATTTTGAAAGAGAGTTTATTGCAAAGGCTGAAGAGCTATAACTAATACATATGTATATCTAGATCATATATCAACCGAGTGGTCAAGTCTCTGCGTGAGAGTATAAGATTCAAGGCTTAGTAGTAGAGTACTAAAGAGTATAATAGTATAAGATTATGAATGTAAGATCGTATAGCAGTACATAGAAATACTCCTTGACTAGAAGAACAGATCCATATAAGACTATAAAGTTATAAGTGTTTACAGAACAAGAGCTTTAGTATGAATGCTCAGTACTAAAGTATTAAGGAATATAAGAGTTTAAGAATTAGTATTAGAGTAAATGTATTAGAGTAAATGTGTATAAGTATATCAGAGCAAAATAGCACAGGTGCTTAAGTAGATAGCAGAACAGAGACTAACTATATAAGAGTAAAATAAGATTCCTATGCTCTAGTTAGGCGTATGAGAGTAAACGAGTATGAAGAAATGAGTATAAGAACGTTGCAACACGAGTATAAAATGGCAAATATAAGACCATAAGCGTCAACTGTAGAAGAGTCGAAGAGCCTGACTCCATCAAACTTGTAATAGTGCAACAGTGTAGAAGTATTAGATCAGGGGATTACAAAAATCCTTCAACTTTAGCTTTAGATTATAAGAGACGATGTTTTTTTTAAATCGATACAATATTTATAAATCGTTGAAGAACTTAGATTTTTTGAGCATGTCATATGTTTTATACTTTTACTCATGCACTCCACTTCATTGATAATTATAAGATATTTCGAGTTTAGGCGCACACAACAGAGCGCTTTTATTTTTGTTTAATATATAAAAAACAAACAGCATTTCAATGTATATTAAAAAAATAATAATTAATAAATTTCCAGAATTTCTATGTATTTGTTTAACTCTTTTCCTTCAGCCTCAGAACAAGTTCTAAGCATTCTACCCGAAGAACATCAGCGTCAACTCTTACGGTAATCAGGCACTCGAGTTGTTGTTATGTTTATTTTGATTTGCGTGTACGGGTTTATGTTTTATTTATAGACCCTTTATGAAACACTTATCGCGTCGCGTCGCGTCGCGTTGCGTCGCACCGGCTAATGTAGCCAATCGCCAATTGTGCACTGAGCTCGGAGCTCGGAGCTCGGAGCTGCGAGCCGCTGGCTCCAAGCACGTTGCCTGCTACTCAGTATTTCGCGCTGTCTGCTGGATTACGGGTTTTGCTTTAATTACGAGAAAAAAGTCGCCTCCGCTTCATCGATTTCGTATGCACAACTTGTCGCCTCTTGTCCAACTCTGACGAAATTTTAAATTACGAATCTTTTGGCTAATTCAAGCTGAAATTGAAACCGAAACTCAAAACTCAAAGCTGTCCATCAAAATGTACTTAGACTGCAGACGATATGAATACGATGTATGCGATACAATATCCGATAAATACGCACTATACTCCTATCAGTATTGAATTACAGTTTTAGTATAGCTTCAGTCGCTCCAACGTTCAAAACACGTCTGAGCCTTCCATTTAGCTGGAGAGGCGGAGCTGGCGCTTTGTATAAGGCTTGGCTTTGGTCACCTTTCAATCACTTTAAGTATACCCAGGGTATATTGACTTTCAGCAAAGGTATGTAAGACCTATGTCTAATCTGATTCAATTTATTATTCATTTACATTCATCCATTTATCTATGCGTCCATCTATCCTTCTATATGTATATTCGTCTATTTGTGTCTCTATCTATTTATTCGTCTACTACTTCCTGCCTCACACTAGAAACTAGGCTATTGGGACCTATTGAATTGGAATACTACAAAAGCTATAAATTTGTAATTCTACATATAGATTCCTTTATAGTCTATGATGGTCACGTCTACTATTTGCATTCAATATCTCAATCCACTTCCATAATATAAATGAATATTGATTTTTACATTTGTTTGCTTTCGCATAGCTCGAGCTAAAGTTACCCAATCGTATATATATCATTTCTCATAGGTAATATATTATTAGCAGTATTTCTTATAGGGTATCTTTAGGCCAGTCCCAATGAAACTTTTCACTTTTACTTGTTTATTTCTTAGAGCACTCGATTGGTCAAACAACATTGTTTCGCGGCATTATTTCACTTCCATTTACTGTAATTGGTATATCAGCTGATTTTGAAACCAAAAACTTGATTTTTTGAAAATATTTAAGAAATGCTTATATAGAGAAATATAGCCACATATATCTACATATAATATATTCTTCAAACAAAACAAACTCCAATGTGCTTGATTGATGAACCGTCTCGCGCGCTTGTGTTGTTTCTGTTTTAACAAACTTTGCGCATTATGAATTTTTTATGAATTAAAAAACAAACAACATTCGAAGAACAAAGTCAAGATACCCTATAATAAAGTTATGGGGATGATAAATGTTATTCTCTCTCTTCTGCGCTTCAGCTACTGAAAACAAGTTTAAAACAAAGTCTGAATACCCTAACTGAAAAACATTTTCAAGCTCTTAAATGTTATTAAAGAACTCCAAGGAC